TACCTAGAAAAAGAGTAAGTAATTATAGCACTACAAGCAAATTTTGTGATTACGCAAAAAGTTTGAGCTTCATAAGCTCTTTTTTATTTTGTAAACACTTTATAACTTTTTTTCTGATCGATTAGTTGTTTGATTTCTAAACAGGGTGGACCCGAATGCATGATATAAAATTAAAGATAGGTACAGGACATTGTAACAATAATTTATTTTAAGGAAATGTGGGAAATGAAAACAAAGTGTATGTTGAAAACGTCTTTGACAAGTATAATGTTTACAATAACCGGATATTCGAGCAACGAGATCCTCATCTGAGTCAAGTGGAGTCGAATAAATAAGATTTTTCTTATGTTCTCATAAAAAAAGATCGAGACTCGATAAATCGGAACCACATTCGGTTACGAATGGCGATCGGAACATCCTGCATTGGTTTTGGTAACACGTGTTCCAGAGAAATAAGTTGACATTCACCATTAAGTCACGTTGTTAGTAAGTATGGGCCAACCAAAAAGTCGTTGGCAATACCACCTCACACATTCAAGCAGAATTGTTGTTGATACGCATTGCATGTGGATTCTCGGTTGCTCACACATGGGAATTGTGCGCATTAAAGTCACATTGCTGTACCACCCTCTGACAGAAGTTCAGGCGGAGAGGATAGTCTACCGGATTTAAAGTTTGGACTCGCCGAAAAGGGAAGGGGTGTAAGCGATTTTCGTCTAACACTCTACAAACGATCTGATGATTCACATCTACATGATGAGCAACAGCTCTTGTATTTGATTCAGATCTATCAGCCACAACATTCATGATGCTTTCTTCCAGGCTAGATTTACGTACAGCTCGTCGTCGATCAGCTTCATGTCTGGTGACGTGGGACGAACCTGTTTCACAAAGTTGAAGATACAACCGCTGAAAAATTCTGTGATCTGTCATTCATGAATCAGGAAAACGTCAGCACAAAGGCGCTTTCCCCTACTGAGATGCATCATGTTAAACAGCGGCTAAACATCTACTGCCCTCTACCGGCAACGCAACCAACCGATAACTCCATTTCTCTTTTATTTTAATTCCCCTGTTTGCGCCTCATCGCGTCACTTGCGCTCATACATTCTTGTACAATAAATGATTGTTCCAATGTCCTGTATCTACCCTTAAAGTTCGTACTATGAATTCGGGACCACCCCGCGTACGCCTTAGAATAATAACTACCTGCTTTAAAAACTATAAAAAATACATACTTGTAATTGTACAAATGCCTGGAAAAAGCTAAGATAAAATTATTAAATTAAATGTTGCGCATCACGCTCTCTCAACATCCTAAAATCCTTTCCGATTATCTCACACTTGTTCTTTCTGCTTTTCAAATTGAGAAAAGTTTGTAAGCTGTTCTGTGCAATTATAAAGAAACCAACATATGCATATAAATAAATGAATAAATTCTATGAACCCTATAAAAGATACGTTAAACACATACATTATCTAGATCTATCCGAGTTATGTTTATAACGCTTGAAAGCATCAGTAAGGTCCATTTTCCCTCTTTTGTAGTTAAAAGATATACTGAGAAAATAAATAACCATCGCCTTACTCCTATCAACAATTTTAATAAACCGCCATTTTAAATAAACCATAGAAATTTAAATAGATCATAAGGTCTATTACTGTTCTTTTTGGTAAAAAACATAGATATCAAAATTACTAAATATATGGTAATTTGAATGAGGGCTCTGAAGACAAGTTTGGTAATTTTACTAGGATAATTTAGAGCGTGGTAAGAAACTTTACTCAATTAAATTTACTTTTCAGTTTGGTGTACTTAAACTAAATGTGTAGTAATAAGAACGATAATTTTGAAAATTAGAATTTCCGGTAAACTATTGTCCTAACGAACATAAAACTTACCTAATGAATGGTTTAATTCAGGGCTCGAAAAACTGCCTGCCCGCTCGTCCTCGGCGGTCAAAAATTCTTCGCGGACAACAAATTTCTCGAATCCAACATCCGCGCGGACGGCCATTTTTCCGTTAATGTTCGTGATATACTTTCAATTTTTGTTATCTTACAAGAGTCTAGCGTCTCACTTCTAAAATGACCCTCTAATCTAGAAATACAGCAACATACCTTTTTTTTTTAGTACTGTGCATGGTGGAATTAATGTTTTCTCTGTCTGGGAGCACTGCAGTGGTTGAAAGAGGCTTTTCAGCAAAGAACTTACAAAAAAACACATTACGTACTGGTCTTAAACAAGAATTAAACGCAATTATGAACATCTACCTAAATGGAAAACCCCTTTCAGATTTCTGTGCAGAAGCCTCTGTAAATCATTGCCTTGATTGTGGAACTGGCAAACGTCATATTTGATTCATTAAAAAACGCAGTACCCTCGAATAAATTGACATTCCAGATAACTTGACCTTTGTCATTTAANCGAAAAGGGAAGGGGTGTAAGCGATTTTCGTTTAACACTCTACAAACGATCTGATAATTCACATCTACATGATGAGCAACAGCTCTTGTATTTGATTCAGATCTATCAGCCACAACGTTCATGATGCTTTCTTCCAGGCTAGATTTACGTACAGCTCGTCGTCGATCAGCTTCATGTCTGGTGATGTGGGACGAACCTGTTTCACAAAGTTGAAGATACAACCGCTGAAAAATTCTGTGATCTGAAATTCATCAACCAGGAAACTGTGCGTGATACATTCGTAGCGCAGCTCTGCCGTTAACATTTGCCCGGACGTACACATGTAATGCAGGTCTGCGTTTTCGGCATACGTAAAGTCTCCCATTATAGACGTCAGCACAATGGCGCTTTCCCCTACTGAGATGCATCATGTTAAACAGCGGCTAAACATCTACTGCCGTCTACCGGCAACGCAACCAACCAATAACTCCATTTCTCTTTTATTTTAATTCCCCTGTTTGCGCCTCATCGCATCACTTGCGCTCATACATTCTTGCACAATAAATGATTGTTACAATGTCCTGTATCTACCCTTAAAGTTCGTACCATGAATTCGGGATCACCCTGAGTACGCTTTAGATTAATAACTACCAGCTTTAAAAACTATAAAAAATACATACTTGCAATTGTACAAATACCTGGAAAAAGCTAAGATAAAATTATTAAATTAAATGTTGTGCATCAGGCTCTCTCAACATCCTTGCTGATTATGTCACACCTGTTCTTTTTGCTTTTCAAAATGAGAAAAGTTTTTAAACTGTTCTGTGTAATTATAAAGAAACCAACATATGCATATAAATAAATGAATAAATTTTACGAACCCTATAAAAGATACGTTAAACACAAACATTATCTAGATCTATCCGAGTTTAATATGCTCATAACGCTTGAAAGCATCAGTTGGGCAAATTTTCTCTCATTTGTAATTAAACGATATACTGAGAAAATAAATAACCATCTCCTTACTCCTCTCAACAATTTTAATAAACCGCCATTTTAAATAAACCATAGAAATTTAAACAGATCATAAGGTCTATTACTATTCTATTTGGTAAAAGACATAGATATCAAAATTACTAAAATGGTAATTTGAATGAGAGTTCTGAAGATAAGTTTGATAATTTTACTATGATAATTTAGAGCGTGGCAAGAAAACCATCAATTAAATTTACTTTTCAGTTTCGTGAACTTAAACTAAATGTGTACTAATAAGAACGATAATTTTGAAAACTAGAATTTCCGGTAAACTGTTATCCTAACGAACATAAAAATAACCAAATGAATGGTTTAATTACTAGAATTATCCTTTAGTTACCAAAAATGTGTTTACTATAAAAATATGGTAGCTTTGCCATAGTTTTTTTCCGTTTGCACCGCAAATGTCTTAGTCCAGCCAATTTTGCAGCCGAACAATAAATATTTATTATTTTTTATTCACAATTTTTTTCACCAAATTCAAAACGAAAACTTATTAATGTCCCAGAAACATTTTACTTTATTCAAACATGAAATGTTAATTTTCAAGTTAAGATGCTTATAAAAGTGCTAATGGTTACTACTAGAGAATTTCCTAATAATTTTGGAAAAATAAGGCTATTTAAAAGAAAGTATTATTCAAAAACACTTTTAAAAAATGTTCTAGTACATTTATCATTTAACACAAGATAAAAATCCTGCAACACTACAGGGAGAAAAAATACCGTACTGTGTGGTCATGACATTTCTGATCAAAAAAATTCATCTGGTTAATATAATCAAAACACGGAATTTAAACCATTCATTTGGTAGCTTTTCCGTCCCTATGGTAACGGTTTTCCGAAAAACCTGGTTTTTTAAATTATATTTCTTATTACCACATTTTCAATAAACAGTACAAAACTGAAAAGTGAATTTAATAGAATAAATAGTTTCTATGCCATGCAGAGGTATCATGAAAAAGTTGCCAAATTTTACCCCATTTAGTAAATTTTATCATAGATTATGAATTCATATTCTGTTGTTAATTTTACCAAAATAATAATAAAATTGAACTTCGGAAAAAAATAGCGAGATTTTTAATGCTTCATTGGGCCAGAAACAAGGTAAATTTTACCATATTCTGTAGTTCTGACAAAAAATTTTTCTCAGAGTATCTTTTTAAATTATTTTGTTCTGAATGCAGACATTTCATTAATTGAATATTTATAAATAAATATTTTAACTTAGTTACATTGATTAGGTAAAACTCCGTTAAATATTTTGCAAATATTTCTGTTTTAAAGAACGAAATTAGTATTGTTACCAAAATTAGTTCTCAAGCTCATTATGACATTAAAAATTCCTTTAAGTTTTAAAAACTAAATTTAAATCGTTTAAAGACTCTTAATCAATCGTTTATCTTATATGCTGTTTCTTTAAAGGTATTGAGATGAAAAGAAAATAAGAAAATCAATTAAGTAATATCATTAAACTTGGATGTATCTGAAACAATCTATATTTTGCGCAATTTCTAGACTAAATAGATAATGTTTAGTATCTTAAAAAAGCTACTCACATTATTCTTAATGTCTGAAGTCTTCACTGCCTTGCCAGAATTTTCTGAAATGAAAATCGCATTTACTAAAGTGATTTATTATTATTTGTAATCAAAACCTCTGGGGGTACTGGATTTGAGATCGATCGTTCTCTGATTCAGGTCAAAATTACGATCTATGGATGAATGAATGTATGTATGAATGGGTCCGCCTTATAAACAGGTGTGACGTATGATGTGGCGAAGTCGAATTCTTGGCCATAGATGGCGCCACTGAAAAACAAGAATCGCACACTCTGCCTTAAATTTGCTCGGTTGGCAAGTGGCATTAGAACCAACCAGCCAACCATTATTATTTGTTGCTTATCTACAATATTAATGGCTTGAACCGTGATGGTTCAGGGGATAGAGCGTTTGCCTTCCAATGAGGTGTACCAGATTCGAATCCCAGCTGTAGCTGGTCGAAGCAAATTCCGCATCCGGCTTGCATCGACCACAGTGCTGGGGTAAAATATCCTCGGTGGTAGACTTATCATGGGTTAGAGTCTCCTTGCGGTCCGACTAACCGTGAGAGGTTTTTTTGACTTTCCTCCCCATGCAACGCAAATGTGGGTTAGTTCCATCAAAAAGTCATCCACGAAAGCAAATTTTTTCCGTTACTTGATCCAGAGGTTCCCTTGTCTTCTGGATTGGGTTCAAAACTACAAGTATACGGCGTTGAACATTAGTAGCCGTAAACCCGAAATAATTGGGTCGGCTGTTCAACGTCGGTTATAAAATAAAAATGAAATAGTAATTGCTTGTTTCATCATCAAGGGGATGGTAAAATATTTTTAAGAAAATTAGTAAGGAACAAACAGTGGACAGTAGAGAGGTGGCGAAGAAGTCTATGGCCCCTCTAATCTAATCATGGGGGCTATCAATGACTAAATATTTTAAATTTAATGCAAAATTAATAGTATAAATTTGTTACGAATTTATAAGTTTTATTAATAACTCATAAATAATTTATTTTGAAAATTACAGAAATTTCGAAGATGAATAACTGTTTCCTTTAGATCCAATTAACTGCAAGTAAGAGTAAGTTTGAAATATTATTGTCATGAGTCATATTGGAAAGTTTTACCACAGAAAAAGACATTACTACTTCACGCTGTATTTTATAACCATTAACTATTAAATTCCAAATTTAATATTTTTCACTTATTTTACCTAAACTAATGCAAAATAATAAATGAAAAAAAATGAAAAATATGTAAGTTCCTTTATTCATGGATTAGACTAAATATTGATTGAGAAAAAAAGATTTTCTAACAAATTTAATGTGTCATTAAAAGTTAAATATTTTTTTCACTCTTTAAAAAATTACTTATGTAAAACAAATAAGTAACTGTTTAAAAAGATTTCAATCTGTTTTTAAATCAACATACAGTACTATGCATCACTATACATGTATTGCTATAACCAAAGTGCAGTACACTGTAGCCAAAATATAATAACGTTTAAGCAAAATGCTGTAAATAATAAAGTGAATATAAATTATATCATAACTAATTTGTAAAAGAGAATGGAAATAACCGAAACAAAGTGTTTCGTTGCCATAAACGTTAAGATCTCGTTGCCATTAACACTTCCTTTCCCTTTCCGTTTCGGCTTTTTTTTTTTGCGTCTTCAAATGGAATTAATTAAAGAAATCGATACCATATTTCATTTTTATTCTTAAACTTCACATGTTTGATTACGCTACAGATAGGATGGAAAATTAAGAGGTAACAAAAAAAAAGACTCAATTCATCTTTAATTTAATTGTCCTTAGAAATTCAATACCCATTAAAAATGTCTGATTTTATATTACTGGAAAACATAAAATATCTATATTCACAACATTTGAAAATTGTGGAATATTTATTATATGATATTGCATTACAGTTAAAAAATGTATTATATTTTAAAATTTATTGTTTTGTATTTCAAAAATTTATTATATTTTAAAATTTGCTGTATTATGTTTCAAAAATTTAGGGTTCTGACTGCATAAGCACTACAATAAAAAAATAAGAAATGAAATGGAATATCAGAATAGAATTAATTGAATTGAAGTATCAAAAACGAATTAAATTAATAATGGTGTTAAATTGGTAAGACAGAAAGTGAACTGTTAGAATGTAAAGGAAAGTTAGATATAGTGAGAATCATAGAAATACTATCAAAAATTATAAATCGGTAAGACAGAAAGTGAACTGTTAGAATGTTAAAGAAAGTTAGAAATGGTAAGAATCATAGAAATATTATCAAAAAATTATAAATCGGAAAGACAGAAAGTATAAGTAACCGTTTAGAATGTTAAAGAAATTTAGAAATGGTAAGAATCATAGAAATACTATCAAAACTATAAATCGGAAAGGCAGAAAGTAATCGTTTAGAATGTTAAAAAAAGTTAGAAATGGTAAGAATAATAGAAATATTATCAAAAAATTATAAATCGAAAAGACAGGAAGTACAAGTAACCGTTTAGAATATTAAAGAAAGTTAGAAATGGTAAGAATCATAGAAATATTATCAAAAAATTATAAATCGGAAAGACAGAAAGTAATCGTTTAGAATGTTAAAGAAAGTTAGAAATGGTAAGAATCATAGAAATATTATCAAAAATTATAAATCGGAAAGACAGAAAGTATAAGTAACCGTTTAGAATGTTAAAGAAAGTTAGAAATGGTAAGAATCATAGAAATATTATCAAAAAATTATAAATCGGAAAGACAGAAAGTATAAGTAACAGTTTAGAATGTTAAAGAAAGTTAGAGATGGTAATAATCGTAGAAATACTATCAAATAATTACCTAATATCTGCCAGGTATACCATTCTTTATGTTTTTTGTTCAGTTCTTTCACTAATCCCAACTTTTCTCTGCTTTTCAAAGCTTGTCTTAAGTTGTGTTTGAATACTGAAAATCTTATATTTTCCCCATAAGTATCTGAAAAGAATGAAAAAATAAGAGTGATGAAATAACTAGTATTTGTTAATCGAGAATAGTACAGAAGTTATAAATCAAAATGTTGTGAAAGGAACCGGTTTATTGAAACAAATTTAATCCATGCTTTAATCGAAACTTTCGATGCAATTCAGACTATACTAGGGTAATTCGGACTAGAGTATAACTATTAATTTGTAACTTCATGTATGTATGCTTTTTAGACTTTAAGTTCAACATGGATTCTAAGCATATATAAATGGAGGTTATTACAGATTCTTTATGTTATGCTTATCATACACTGAAGAGCCAAAAAAACTGGTATACCTGCCTACTATCGTGTAGAGTACCCGCGAGCACGCAGAAGTGCCGCAACACGACGTGGCATGGATTCGATCAATGTGTGAAGTAGTGCTGGAGATAATTGACACCATGAATCCTGCAGGGCTGTCCATAAACCAATGGGAGTAAGAGGGGGTGGGGATATCTTCTGAACATCACGTTGCAAGGCATCCCAAATATATTCAATAATGTTCATGTCTGGGGATTTTGGTGGCCAGCGGCAATCTTCTGAATTTAGACACTTCCGCTGGCCACCAAAATCTCCAGACATGAACTACCCACTTATGGACAACCCAGCAGAATTCAGGGAAACGTAAAAACAGAATGAATAAATTTTTACAACAAAATTAAGAAATCCCAAGTTAAAACTCTTGAGGGTCCCATCAAAACGTTTTGATGGTTTATGTTGGTGTCAGTGCTATTCATGATGGTCCAACATTTGATGGTAACCATCATTCAACATTTCCCATTACGCGTTCATGGTGTTTGATACGCCAACAAACTTCCATCATTCCATAATGGAAAATGCTATTTTAATACAATGACGGTTAACCATCAAGAGAAGTTTGATTCTTATGGACCAACAATCCATGATGATCTAAGATGGTCCAGGAGGATCCCAACGATTCATTTTCATGATGGTAAAATAGAAATTCTTGTTTGTTCTCAGAAATATACCCTCAAAACAGTTTGCTTTTTTTTATGTTGGATCATCATAAATCAATCCGAATTCCTACATTAGGATGATGGTGGTTCATGATCGCTCCAACATTCGATTACTAAGAAACTATGATGAAAATTTCTGATCGTTCAACATGAGCAAACCATCAAAACAAGTTGCTATTCTTAAGTTGGACCATCATAAATCAGTCCGAATTCCTACATTTGGGTGGCGGTTATTTATGTAGTTACCATCAAAAAATATAATGGTTCATGATGGAATTATTGGTGGTTACCATCAAGATTATGCTGGTCTACAATGGGAAACCATCAAAATTTTTGACTCGAGATGTTAAATGAGGAGAATTAAAAAAGACAATTTGATCGCAATTCTCGTTTGTTATGCAGTTCGCGTGAATTAAGATATTGCCAAAAGAGCATTTCAGCTTTAGAGGAGATACTTGGGTGCAGAGAGCTAGTCTGTTGTTCAGGCTCTGAAAACTTGCTTAATGAGGAACTGGTAGACGGGTTATCATGTGGCAAAAAATTTCTAGCTGGTGGTCTCTTCGTACAGGATCATTAACCTCTTTTTATTTTGAATGTTTTCCAAATTTTATCGCTGATTGTAAAAGAGTCGCGAAGGGTGAGGGGATAGAGCGTTCGCCTTCCAATGAGGCGAACCGGATTCGAATCCCAGTCGATACGAATTCCGCATCCGGCTCGCACCGACCACAGGGCTGACGTGAAGTATCCTCAGTGGTAGACGGATCATGGGTTAGAGTCCCATTGCCGTCAGACAAACCGTGGAAGGTTCTCGTGGTCTTCATGCCGATGTAACGCAAATGCGGGTTAGTTCCATCAAAAAGTCTTCCACGAAAGCAAATTTCTCCCAATCACAGGATTTCCCTTTTCTTCTGGATTCGGTTCAAAATTACAAGGCTACGGAGTTGAACATTAGTAGTCGTGAATCTCTGATCACGTTTCCGTGTTTAAGGCTGAATTATGGGCCATTCTGCAGTCGATTCGTTGGATTAAAGAACAAAGAATTACAGACAATATCTCAATTTACACGGATTCCCTGTCTAGCAGCAACTCTAAAGAGTATTTAGTCCACTTAATTAAGCAAGAATTCACAAACAATATCGTTTTACATTGGATAAAAGCACATGCAGGCCATATGGGCAACGAAGAAGCTGATAGGTTAGCCAAATTAGCCTGTGAGAGATCAACGGTCGACCTGTTTGAGGATCCTAGCAGGCGGACTGCAAGAAAAACTTTGGAACGCGAAAAATTGATTGAATGGCAGGAGAGATGGAGTGACAGCTTTACAAAGGGAAGGCACACATTCGAGCTCCTCCCGAAAGTTCAAACGAGGAAAATCATGGGGAATTTCTTTTTAAATCAATTCCTAACTAATCACGGCTGTCATGGACAACATCAAGCCAGGTTTTTTGGGGGAGCTCAGCTGTGCAGTACCTGTCAGCTTGTTGAGGATTGGGAACATATTTTAATCCAGTGTACAAATTTTAAGCACATTAGAGAGAAATATTTTCATTCAAAAACCACCTACGAGTTTATAACGCAGCATTGGTCAAACCCTAAAATAAAAAAGGGAATTGGGGAAATAATAAGAAAATTGTTTAGTAACAAGGCACCTCCCTGAATCCTGAAGGCCTTTTGCTGCCTCTTGTTACACCTAAATCACGGCTTATTAATTTACCTGTTATGGTTTGATTCTTACTTGAATTTTCTCTTAAAATGTTTTTTTTTTGTGCTATAGTTTCATGCTTTGTCAATATCTGCCCCTATGTGATTCCTCATTTTGAAAATTTTAATCACTTGTGTTCCTAGAGTTTTTATATATAGTATATATATGTCCTTTCTGTTTTTGAAAAAAATTAATACCTTTAGTACTGTTGTGCCAGCCGTAATTATATTCTGAGTTACAAACATCCTATATTTTCCATGTGAAATTGTTTCCTTTTATTAACTAACTTACTGAAGATGCGACATCAATATCTCTTCTGATTGTTACTATTTATTTCCTTTGTAATGTCTGTTTGCTTAGTTTATTTCTAAGTAGCACTGTTTTCTGGATTTCATATTTAATATTCCACCTATTTGTTAAAACTCTAATTTGAAAATTTTGAATAAGTTTGCTCATGTAATTGAACTGTTACGCTCACTTCGAACTTTCGGAGTGCCCCCGGATGCCCCCTTACGGTGGGCGGGACGGGCTTAAGCTTGTTATTAGTAGTCGTGAACCCAAAAATTGGGTCGGCAGTTCAACAACAGTTATGAAATAAAATTAAATGATTGTAAAAAGAGCAACGAAGGCTCAGGGGATAGAGCGTTCGCCTTTCAGTGAGATGAACCGGGTTCGAATCCCAGCGATGGCTGGTCGATACGAATTTCGCGTCCGGCTTGCACCGGCCACAGTGCTGACGTGAAATATCCTCAGTGGTAGACGGATCATGGGTTAGAGTCTCCTTGTCGCAGTGGGAGGTTCTCGTTCTCTTCCTCGTTATGTAACGCAAATGCGGGTTAGTTCCACCAGAAAAGCAATAGACAATTCGTACCTGAAACTACTCGAGTTATCTAATTTATGCGATATTGTGATTTTTCAAAAGTTTCTGAATGCAAAAATTTTAAATATTGATTTTAGAACTTTTTGATTTTTTTTATTGGGAAAGTAAGAGGAACGCTAGAAAGTTTTTTAAAGCCAGGACATAAGAAGTAGCATTTTTCGTTCGTTTTCGTTCATCCATTCATATGTTTCGGTTGTTGTGAAACAGTCGGTATGATTCTAAGCAGTATTGCATTGGAACATTTAACAGTCTTGTTTTTGCTACACAATGCGCAAAAAGGAGAAAAAAAATGAAACTCCTGAATCACTTTTGTTATCATGATCAGTTTTTAATTTATTAAGTTCACTGATCTCTATTGAGTCCTCTGCGTGAAAATCCAATCATTAGATTGAAAGTCATCTAGGATGTTCTATTTTTTTTCACTCATGGTTAGATTGCATTTCAACAGAATGGGGGTAGATATTATGTAATAAGGACTTTATTTCAAATTAAATATTCATGAAAATTAAAATATTATTTATTACTTTCCTATTTACAATTGATTATTTAATTAAAAAGAGATTTAGAACCATAATATAAAAATATTTTTTTACCAATACAGATTTTACATTGCTTTTATAGAAATTTTTTTTAACTAATTACCTTATTGAAAGTTAAAGTTTTACTAAATAACGTTTACGATACAAAAAGCTTAAAAAGTTTTTAAAGAAATTTAAAATTTCATTTATATATAAAGAATCTTTTTCATTCATTGGGAAATCAATCATTTCAAATGTACTTCAAGCAATGAAAAATTGCTCGCTTTTTTCCATTTCTTAAAATAAAATCTTATTAAGAATTAAAAATTGAAAAAATAAGGAATAATAAATAAGCTGAGCCTATTAAAAAAAACTATATTTTTGAAACTTTCAATAGCAGTCCACTGTTACCCGCTGTTACTGTTATTGTATAACTTAAACAATAAAGAGAATTACTTCCAGCTATCGCCCAATCGATGAAAAGTCTTGATTTTTCTACATCCTTACTTCCAGTTCTTTTTTTGATATACTTGAAAATCTTTTTATCTTTATCCACCCATTGTATTATTTCAGAATCGTAACAACCAGAGGAAATCTTTTGCTCTATCCAAGGAAGCAAATTTACCGTTAAAATAACGAGAGATATGATGAGCATCATGCTTGAGTCTTCACTGAAAAAAAATTATATCTTTATTAAGAATAAAAATCGAATTTACGATGATATATCTTCAAATTACTTCAGAAGTTTCAATGCGGTAATTTATATCTTAATTAAGAATAAAAATCGTATCTACGATGAAATATATTCGAATTACTGCTGAAGTTTCAATCAATTATGCGGTAATTTATATCTTAATTAGGAATAAAAATCGTATCTACGATGATATATATTCGAATTACTTCAAAAGTTTCAATCAATTATGCGGTAATTTTAAAACAGACGTATTATTGAAAGTTTTAAGCTTATATATTAATTCTACAGAATCTGGGTTCTTCTCGATGCTATCTAGCATATCATTTGTATCGTAATATAAAAGCTAAAGCTTAATTAATGATGGTTCTAAGTGACAATTATGAAAAAATTAGGATTTCGAGGAGAAAGATTTTATTTTAGTCTATATTTTACGTAAAATATATAATTTTGCCAAGCTCTTAAATTTTGTAGATATAAGTTGACGAAATAGCAATTTTTCAGTTTTTTTTAAAAGTGGAAAGAAGTTTTACATGCAATCTGACGAAAAAATAATCGGAATGTAACTTTAAAAAGCCTCTCTCATAACAGCAAACAAAAATGCTTGTGCGGACGCTGTGATGCGAAAATTTCAAAGAACTGTTAAGGATGTCAAGGATAAATTTTATCAAAATATTTAAGGCACATATTTTATCAGTCAAAAGTTTGCTTGGACAAGCCGCGATGGCTCAGGGGATAGGGCGTTCGCCTTCCAAAGAGGTGAACCTGGTTCAAATCCCAGCCATGGCTGGTCGATACGAATTCCGCATCCAGCTTGCACCGACCACAGTGCTGACGTGAAATATCCTCAGTAGTAGACGGATCAAGGGTTAGAGTCCCCTTGCCGTCAGGCTAACCGTGGGAGGTTCTCGTGGTCTTCCTCTCCATGTTACGCAAATTCGGACAAGTTCCATCAAGAAGTCTTCCACAATGGCAAAATTTCTCCTAATACTTGACCCAGGAGTTTCCTCGTCTTCTGGATTGGGCTCAAAATTACAAGGCTACATAGTTGTAAATTCAAAAATTGGGTCGGCTGTTCAACGACGGTTATAAAATAAAAATAAAATCGGAAGCTTGCTGCCTAAAAATAAATGTAAGGCATTATCTTCATTTCGTATTTTTCAAAGGTAATTTATTTAAATTCACTAGAATATAGCTTAGAACTTTTATTCATTCAGCTTTTCAATTTACAATGTCAAAAAATGTTCGGCACTGTTCCGCTATTTTACAAGTTTCTACCAAATTTCTGCGAAAACGAGTTTAATTCAGAGATAAAGAATTTTTTTGTGGCAATGTATTTCAATTAAATGTATTTTATTTTCATGCATTAATAGTTAAAATATGAATATCTAGTCAATTGTGTTAATTAATTTCTTGTCTGAATTCTGTGGGAATGTATGCAGTCTTTTAGCCCCTTGTATTTACATTGGATGAGAGTGCTAAATTGTCATTCTCCCGAATTTTAAATTTGTCCAAAACAAATATTTAAACTTCTATGTTACGCTCATATAAAGTATTTTTTCGATATATATTTGACATGAAATTATTTTTTAAAATTACATATCATATCTTATTTACATATTATTACTGGCACCATGCATTTTATTAATATTGTATGCATTTTTATTTTCAAGTTCATCTTGAAAGTAGTTTATGCAATGTCCAATAAAAAATGAATTTATTAAATGTTAAATTATTTATAAATCAATTATTCATGAATTTGTGGAAACAAAAATGTTTGAATATTCTTTTTTTGTTGTTGTTTTCTTTTGTTTTTTAGAATTTGTTATAAATTTATATTTTCAACAGTTTTTTTACGTTTTGCACAACATATTTGTGCTCTTAATATTGCGTAACCACCTATTCTCTTTGTAAATATGTCATGCAACTTATTGGAAGTTTATTCTCATTATTATTCCTCGTAATCCTGCGTAAATAATTTGTTATGAATTGTTAACAAACTTTATTCTATTTATTTTCTGTTTAAACGAAGTGTTTTGTGCTATTGTTGAAATTGTAACTCTTTATTATTGTGACTTTTTGTAATGTTTGTGGAAGGGTCTTTTGGTTATTGTGGGGGCTGTTCTGATCTTGCAGGGTGCTCTAGACAAGAGTTCAGCTGCTGGATAATACAGCTTACAATATGACCTCACCTCTACTCCACCATCAGGGACCGATCAAGACAAATTCGGGCCCTAGGCCCATCAAAATTTCCGGGCCCGTTGCAAAATATTTTGAAATTAAGTTTCTGAAGAGTAGTCCTAACAATAAAAAAGAATCTATTGAACTGCAAAACATTCTAAAAAATTTTGAAACCTGACAATTGAAGATCATTTTTTTAAGATAAAGTTGTCGCATCTATATATTAAAAGCAAATATAGAGCAACAAAACAATGTTATGTCAAAATAAAAATAGTTTGGTGACCACAAACAATTGAAAATCAGTGATTTTTGCTAAAAGTCACTGATTAGTGGAATTATTTTTTATTGTAAGCAGTAATTACTTTTTTTATTTAGTACTTAAACCAACACAAAGGTAGCCAACTTTTCATTAGATTTAACGATAAGTTCAGCATGTATGGTAAGATATTAAGGTTATTAATTATAATTTTTATTAAAAAATACAAACAAAAAAATATCCAAAAGAGCCAAAATTATATCTACTCATAGAAAATTAAAAACACACTTAAATAATAATTTGTTTAAATATAACACTTTTAAAAAATTAAAATTCATGTTCAGTGCATTCACTTAAGTCGTTGACGTAAAAATTACAATAATTCGAATTCTGTTGTACTTTCAAATTCGATTAGTGCAATGTTTACACGAGTTTGGTGACAATGTTTACAATGTTTTCACAATATAAAGAAAATTTGAAGGAAAAAAAATGCATTTTTTGAGAAAAACTGTTTCTTTCAGTATTTAAAAAAATAGCGATATTGCGAACTTTTTACTAATTTTTGAGGCCCCCCGGAAAGTGTGGGCCCTAGGCCCTTGCCATTGGGCCTAGGCGATAATCAGGCCCTGAGCACGCTAGAGAGGCCGGTAGAATGCTCCCACCGCATGCAAATCGTTCTCTATGATACGAACCTACGAACAGGCACCATTTCTCGTGCTTATGCAACTTCGCACTCGCTCTTCGATTTCATACCAGTTTTACCGGACAAACTTGGGGATGGTGCGGCTACTTCCATTCTAATATTTTGTAGTCACATATTTTATATTCTTTCAATTAAATAGCAAATTTGCATAACACACATTGATTAGCATCGTCATTTTATATACAATTGCATATTGATATAACAGTAAAAAAACAAATAATTAAAATGCTAATTAATAATTACTTGCCATCACCATTAACTATTATGCAGAGTTATTAACATAAAGCCAGACACAAGAAGAAAAATAAAATGGGTTTCAAAATTAGAAAAGCTTAACCACCAAATTAAAAGAGAGAGATAATATTTACTGTATCTTAGGGGACAATATGGTTGCAAAAATAAAGAAGCTAAACTCACTTTTCTTGCTTAGACTACTTTATAACATAAAGGCAGATACAAGAAGAAAATAAAAATGGGTTTCAAAATTAGGAAAGCTTAACCACCAAATTAAAAGAGAGAGATAGTATTTACTGTATCTTAGGGGACAATATGGTTGCAAAAATAAAGAAGCTAAACTCACTTTTCTTGCTTAGATTACTTTACAACATAAAGCCAAACACAAGAAGAGAAATCAAATGTGTTTCAAAATTAGAAAAACTTAACCACCAAATTAAAAGAGAGAGATAATATTTACTGTATCTTAGGGGACAATATGGTTGCAAAAATAAAGAAGCTAAACTCACTTTTCTTGCTGAGACTACTTTATTCTTTCTTTCCCTAAAAATAGTTCCATTTTTAAAAGCTTAATCATAAACTGCAAATGTGTGCTAGCACCTTTGATTTTCACAAAGATTGTTTATTGCATTTTATATAAAAGTATTTTGTTTTGAAATATATTATGACTTTTTCTTTTGTATAAAGAATGTCATCATTTGTCGAAATGAAAAATATTATTCATGAATAATACTTATAAGCAGGGTTGGCATTTCGTAAGGAAGAAACTGGACAAAATGGAAGAAACTTCGCAAAATAAAAAAAAATAAATAAAAATGAACCATAAATGCGTTTGAAATAAATATTATAGTTAGTATAATAGTAATGCGTTATTTTAATAAGTATTATAATAATGTGTTATTATAATAAGCATTATAAAAATAGCTTAAATTAAAAATAAGTTTTATAAAAATTTCATCAAGTTGAATTTAATATAGCACACTGAAAAATACTGATTCACACAAGTTATTAATTTTTTCCCTTAAAACATAAGAATAATTTTAAGAATACGAATAATTTTTACCATGAAAAAATATTCAAACTTTTTTTTTTCGTCGACAGCTTTTTCATGCACAAGAATTAGAGAATGCGAATTCAGGTTAAAATAAAACCTGTTATTTTGAGCTATTTCTAAATAAATATTTTTATTTTCATTTAGCATGATCGAGTTAATTCAATGTAAACTGCAAAAATTCCGGATCAAATTATGGTGAAATGTATTGGCACTGAAGGAGCCGTTACTTTTTACTTAAAATTCATTTTAACGTAAAATTTTAAGGAATAAAAATATTAAATACTGTAATTTTAACCTAATATTTACTGTAAAATCACTGAAATTAAATAAATATTACTGTAAAAATTACGACATAAAGTTTTATGGTAAAAATTGATTTTATGAATGCTGTAGTACTTTTTACCGTTACTTGATCCAAAATTTTTTACAATGTAGTAGCGTTTTTAACATTATTTAACATAATTTTTAAATTTGCAGTTGTAATAGTTATTTGTAAAAAAAATGGAAAAGCTATTTTGAAAACAAATTAAACAAACAATAAACTTTAAACTT